TTTTTTTCTTTTTAATATGAGAAATAGCAATGACTAAAATCAGAGCGTGATACTGCAGAAATGAACATGTTGCAGGGCAGCTGGCATAGCAGGCTCTCCAAAATAAAAAGAGAATGAAATAAAGCCTCAACCCACATTGCAAACATTTCAATATTTTCTCTTTCCCTCTGGAAACGATATGGCTGTGTCATTACCAGGCACATCTCTGGTTCTACTGAAGCTGCTAAATGTATGCTGATGGCAACATGCAGTGTTTTGCCTGCAGTAAAAATGAAGGTTCAGAACCTGTGAAGCAGTTGAAGAATGAAATAAAGCCTCTGTAGACCTGGGATCATGTCCTTGAGCTGCCACTCATGTCTCTGACATGGCAACTGATCTCTGTGTGCATCATTTCTCTATTTGTGGAATGCAGACAATTACATTTCATTTTCTAGGTGAAAGAACACTGGTCCTTTTCAGCTGAATACTGATGTGTCAGAACTAAGTATTTTTAATATATATTTTATTGTAAGAGTTTCAAAAAGTATCTAGGGGTTTAGGCAGCACTTTTTCTGACAGACAAAAAGGTTTGGCAAGTAAATGAAAGGATTTCTTTCTACTAGTTGTAATACTGTGAAAATATAAATCAGAAAGATCTGTGTTTGTGAGGGTCTCCTACCTCTGTATTATAGTTTTATTAGCATTACTTTGTGGAAAAAGAGGGGCGAAGACCCCCATGATAATAAACAGAAGTCATTAGGAAGCTTTGCTAAAACACAGTTTACAGATGTGAATGTGTATGGGCCTACTGAGTTACAGTTTAGGTGCTAGCTTATAGTGTTGTCTCTGCATACTTTATTTCTCATAATTTTCTAAATAGCATCTCATTAGAGAAAGGCTGGAAATAAATCTGCAGATGTTGGATGTTATAAAAAAAGGTCCTTGCAACCACTGAACATATTAGCACATCTGTGTTTCCCTTATATAACCTACTGTTTTCAAGGATGCATCACTTGGCCAGACTCTAGACTTGAAAGTAGCATAATAAATTTTCAATTCAGGAGTGATGCTTTTTGGGTTCTAGTTTGTCTATGTTTATTTTGTTTGCATATTTGTTTGTTTTTATTGAGGAAATCAGAATTTTTAATGATACATAAGATCTGAAATAATTTGAGACATGTCTCCTTTATGCTCAAGCAAAATTACTCATATTTAAAATTATGATTTGCAGGTTTTATTAATGTAGATGTTTGAATGTTGAAGTCATAAGGGTCTGGTAAAACCCAGGATGACAGATAACCATATGGAAGTTTTTTGGAACATAGTCTTGCTGTGTGTACCAAATTTCTGTTGGGCCAGTGTTCACATGGTGCTAAATGAAATTTAGCAGTGCAGAATTTCAGTCTAGAGGTCCATCACAGCAGCTCCTTTTGCTGATTACTTATTTGCTTCTACTTTTAACCACTGAATTTGAGCTTGCAGCTTCCTAAGTTAACTGGTGCTCCATTGGCTACTGTAGAGGTTGTCCATCTGCTCATCTGTTCTGCCTCTAAGGATTTTTGTTAAAGCAATGCTGATCTCAGAAAATTGGAAAGGGCGTCAGGAAAGATGTCAAAAATCTTCAGCTCCTAGAAGTTTTGCGAGAAAATAAAAATGAGCAGGGGAAAAATGTTTCTTGCCCTTTGAATAGGCAAGGCTTGCTGTCACTTTGTTTTTTGTCAAGTTGATTAGTGTGAGAGAAAGATCCCTTAAGTGTCCCAGTCATGGGAAGAGTTTCAATGATGGTTTGCACCTCCTCAGGAGCTTCATCCAGACACAGATCTGTAGGAAATTTGGTTTCATTAACTTCAGGGATGTTAGCACTACTTATTTTCTTGTTGGTGGTTGTGATTTCCTTCAAGGAAATCTAGAAGCAGTAGAACATAAAAATGGAAGTGCCATTTCAAAATCAAATAGGAATGTCCAGCTTAATAGCGTTATTTTTTTTAAATATGACTGTTTGACTTCTGAACTCTTGCTAATTTAAGACCTCATGGACTCAAAAAGGAAAAGTATGTATAGCCATGTGACAAAGCAAATGTGCCAGAGGAGGATTTATTCAGTTTTCAGAAGATCAGCAGCAGTGATTCACCCTCTTGGCTGGTCTGGACTGCAATATGGTCAACTGATTCCCCCAGGGAGGAAGAAAGGATGAAAGTCCCACAGTGCTCTGTGGTCACACAGGGAGCAGTGATCTGTGCCAGGGTAGGCCAGCCTGTGCATCCAGTACAAAGAAAACTTCAACCTTAACCATCAGTATTGTTGTTGTAGGGGATTCAAGTCAGGCAATCCAAATGTAGCATTTAGTGGTTCAGTGAAAGAGAATGAAAACTTTAAAATGAGAGAACTCACCATCCAGAGACTGAATAAACAAAAAGCATATTTAGACAACTGTGTGCTATTCAGCACTTTACATCATGCAAAGAAGAGAGTCCCTCCTCTTTTCAAGCCTCCGCACAAATCTTGCCATAGATTTTTCAGGGTGATCTGAGAGATTTGTTGTTTTCAAAGTTAAAACAACATCAGCTACAAGATCTAGATGAGTTGAAAGGAGTTACAATGTCCTTTGTATACCCAGACCCCTCATCTAGCTTTGAAATCTATGAAAGCAAAGCAAACAATATAATAAATGTTGGTGTTTGTTCCAATAATTGGTCAGGTGGTCGATGCTTTGTAAGGATTTACTGATTTATTGGGACTTTTGATTCTTGAAAGGCAATAGTTAGACTTTTACTGTGGAACACCCACTATAGTAAAGTCTGAAGTGGCATTAAGCAGAAAAAACCCACTAGCAGGTATTAGAATTGATAAAACATCTGGTCTGCTTTTTACTTCTTAAACTAGTTATTTATATTTATGTCTTTTGTCTTTCTTACCGATTCCATAGTGAATCTCTTGAAGAAAAACTTGAAAGCCTGGATGCTGAAGATCTCATGTCTCATCTGTCACGACCAGAAACCTACCTAGAAGAGGAGAAAAGATCAAGTAAGTAAAACTGACCAAAGCTATGGGACTGACAAAGTCACTTATTTAAACAGTCAATTTGAAAAAAATGTGTGTTAATTCTTTAGTGGTGGAAATATTATCTTTCATTATCTGATTGCTGCATTTGGTATTGTGAGTTTCACTGTGGTAAACAGTTCCATTAGAAATTCCCTGATAAAGAACACCTTGTTAAAAATTGCTAGAGGAGAGCTTCGTTTAGCTGGCTGGGAAAACTCTCTGTCTAACTGAATGTGGCAACTACTCAGTCAGCTGCACTGAGTGCAGTGCTGGTGAGGACTTGCCTGTCCAAGCTGTCTGACACTTCAGAAGACCCTATTTTCTGATATAACTTCAGTCTAACCATTCAAGCTGAAAATTTCAATGTCAGGTGTATGCACCAGACTGATCTTTTTTAGAAGATGGAGATAAGATCTGAAGGATAAAGAGACTGGGAACAAGAAGTGTTCTGACAGGACATAATCCTGCATGTGGGAGAGGGCAGGAGGGTGTGGGGAGACAGTCATGGCAGGATATGGACAAGTGGTCTCACAATTTTGCATCAGGTTTTTCTGCCACTATATTGCATACTCTTTCCAGTTTAACACTTGTGTTGCTGTGGGGAAAGGAAGGTCCTAGACATGCTACAGAGCCCTGAGCAGGTGAGTAGGGCTGGCACATACCTTTCAATTTGGGACATTCTGGGCTGATCTTCATGTTTGGTCCAAAGGTACAAGCTGGAAAAAGATTAGCAGGGGCTTGAGGCCAGATATGGGTGCTGAGAAGGAGAGTACTACACAGAAGCCATTGCCATGAGACGGTAAATCAGGGAGGCTGGGACAAGCCCCATGAGTCAGAGAGATGTGGACTGCATGAGCTGGCACATGGGAGAGGTGACAAGGACACATAAGGATAAGATGAAACAGAGAGGCCCAGGCAACAGGGGAGTGGGAGAGAGGCCATACCCAGATTGCACTCTTTGATTAACCAGTCTGCCCATTTTCATTTGAGCACATCACTTTATTCCTTGATTCCATGAGGAAAAACACAAGTCCTTCCCTATGAGTGTTTTCTTTTTAACCTTCTGTCTAAGAGAAGCCTTGTTACGCCTTTTGACCTATTTCTCCAGAGACTGCTGTAGTTTGTTTATGGGGTTTGTCCTGTTTGTTTTGTGTTTCCAGATATGTCATGTGGGTCTGGAAGTTTTCCAACCCTTACCATTAAAAATAACATAGAATAATCCCTGTCTCCAAGACATATGAGATCCAATCAAAAATTGGGACATACAAGTTTTTGGATGGGATGTTAGTATCTCTCTTTTCCCTTCTGTTTCTGAGCCTTTAGGATACTTTCAAGTGATGCTGTCAAGAGCTCTTTTATTATTAAGAGGGTTAGACATCTTTTTTACCAGCAGACTTCCGATTTTTACCTGCTGCCTGGAAAGGATCTGAGATTTTACTAGGTATGCCACCAGCTTGGCAGCACAGGAGGAGAAATGGTTATGGGCCCTGCTCATAAGGAGGGGGTGTGGCCTTTGATTCCAAGGCCAGGAGGAGGAGTATCTGCCTCAAGTCAAGAACATTTTGCTTGAATATTGTGTTCCATGCAGGAAGAAGTTGTTAGAAGGCAGACCTGGCACTGCACTGTGTTTTTGTGGATTGGGAAAGACATCTCCTGGCAGACAACTGAGTACCACCATCTTACAACAAACCCATAGCCACTGGCAACCCTGGATGTGACTCAACCCATGATGATGCCTGCTGGTTCTTTAATTTTACAGCACACCTCTTCCTTTTAATTATATTATTCATCTTTGTAGGCAAAAACGTCGCTATCATCATAGGTTTATGTTATTCAAATCAAAGCACGAAATAAAAAATATAAAATGGCTCATTATTTTCTAAATCGGATGCTGACCTAAGTTTACAAGTAACTATGATTTACATTGAACTAAATTTTAAAGGGATGGCAATTTATTTTTCATAAGTCTAAAAAGACACAGAATCTCTTTATGTCTGCTATAATAAACTACTGAATATTATTTAATTGCTCATTTGGTATAAGTGACATTATGAGCATTTTCGGTTACATCTCATTGGTTATAGAATGATTATGATCCCTTTCTAGGTCTCCTACTCATTTTGGGATCTATTGATACAAGAGCAATCAGCAAATAAATAAAATAGCAAAGAAATCCAGAGAAATATTTATAAAGAAATCAAGTTGGTTGAAGTTATCATCATTGATTGATGAGAAACAATGCTGAAAAGGAAACATATGTGGCTCTCCTAGAGAGAGGAATGCTGGCCTAGTGGTGAAAGTGCTCATGTGAATTCAACACTAATTCAGTGACTTTGGACAATTTATTAGGGCATCATTCAGATGGCAAATTCCTCAAGTCATACACCCATTATCTGGGCAAAGAGTCTTTTGAGGCTAAATACAGCTTTTCTGAAACCCTTGACCTGATGACAGTAGTAGAATTTGGGCTGTGTCAAGATGGCATTTTGACTCTTCTTCTCACCCCCACAAAAAAAACAAAAACGATGCTCCCTGACTCTCCTTGGCAATGTGGAGGTAACATGACAGATTTGTGAAAAATCCTTATATATGACAAGTATGTGAGTGGGAGCAGGGAGTGGATATGAAATATAAAAGCCCAGAACATATAGCGAACAGTGAAAACTGGAGAAATATGATTGCCTTTCACACGGGAACACCTACACCTGAAAAGAGAAAATCTAATGGGGCTTAAGCAAGGACGGGGCCTAACGAAGAGCAGGGTGACATCAATGGCAGCTGGGTGACAACTCGACACAATACAGCAATACAATAGCAGATTCTATTAGTCCATAGATGAGGAAAACATTTGTTCTTGTGCCTAGTTATAAATACATACAATTATATTGGATTAATTGGTACAATCTAAGTGCTTGACTAATCCTAATGTGTTACTAATAAGTATAATGAGTTGAATCCCTATATTTTTAAGGTTTTAGAACAGGGTAAATGTTGTGGAAAGCTAATCGATTCTCAGGAAGAGAATATAAAAATTGCCAATGTATTGGGTAATAATCAAGAAAAAAATCATGCAGGGATTTTGCAGAGGAGAGGAAAATATCAGGAAATATTTTTTACATGTTTTAATTACCTGCACTTAATATTGCTTAAACTCTGTGTGATTTCATGCAAAAGTCATTTAATGGCCTATTTTACCTTGCTTTTCGTTTTAGAGGACTTTTTTTCTTTCATAATAGACTATATGACCTGAGTAGCAATAATATAAATCCGTATTTTTTCATGTCTAATCACTATTTTAGGGCAAATACTAGCCAGCCCATATTTTCCATATTCCACAGAGTTAGGCTAACTAGAAAAACTCAAACAAGCAAAAGTTAATATTATTTCTACAGTCACTGATACAGTAACAATAGTAGTTGTGCACCACCATGCTGAACATCAACTCCCTTTATGTCCAAACAATAGTGTGAATCACAGAAATCCGACCTTGATATACAAATGTGATCATGTAGTAATTATAGCTCTTGTGCTTTCTGTATAAACAGACTCCTTCATCTGGAAATGCTGTAGGGTACTGCTTGATTCTGCAATTTACAGTTAATGACTGAGCAGAAAGCTTTTCTATCCCAAAAAGCTTTAAAATAAAGCAGGTAGAAAAATCTTATTTCCCGCAAATGAAAAAAATAAGCTGGTTATTTGAACAGCAGTGAATCAAGCAATTGTTCTATGTATGTTCTGTTGAAAAGCAGATATCACATATTTAAAGATTGTCCTCAAAATCACATTTTGCAAAGGTTATTAAAGACACTTTCATGGTCAAAATATGGAACTAAATGACTCAGTCCAAGTGGTAACTGACATGTTCTTTAACAACTGTGAGGTTAACAAAAATATCTTTCATTTCATGCCAAAATCTGCTTGTTCTCTTTGTGTCTGTGCTGGTATCATCCAAACAGGATGTGACAAACATATGTTCTTTGGCTTTGCCTTAATCCATGATTTGGATAACACTATTAAGATGTGGTCTAACAAACTTCAGGGAAGCAAATCTGAGGATATTTGTCTGTGGACTTGATTTTAGTATGACCTAAGCAATAGAAGCTCCACCTGACCTCATGAATTAGCATTATGTGTTTCAGTGCTTCCATAAAAATATATTATCGAAGTATTAGCATGCTTATAGACATGGGCTGAATCCTGAAAGAAAACAATGGTGGGAAATCAACCCAGCACAGAGCCCAGGAGTGACCCTGAAGGCTCAGTGACATCCTCTTGATGATGAGTCTCCACTTATGAGGGTTTCCAAGAATGTCAATTGCTCAGGTTTTAATCTATTCAATCATTACAGTGATGATTTTGGAGACTTCTAATTTCTTAATCAAATTTTTGTTTAGTTCCATGAGTGCTACCAAAGTTCATAAATAATACATAAGTAGTATAGATTTTTCTTTTCCCCAGGAAAATTTAAAACCTGAAAAAAAATATCAAGATAGCTTTCTTGAAATAAAATGTATTTTCCTTAATTCCATCCTGATTGGTATGCAATGAGTAATGAACAAAGTAATAAATTGTATTATTTTTATCTGATTCTTTATAAATAATACTTGGAATTAAAAATTCCAGTGTTTTGCACTGGATTGATGTCAAGCTGAGAGGGTTATTAATCCTCAGGTTGTTACACCAAACTTTTAAATATATTGGCAAAGTATGAAATTTCTTCTATTCATCTTGAAATACCCTCATGTTTGAATATGTATGGGAAATCAACTTAAAAATTCAGACCTTTTCTTGCATGGTGCTTTTAGAAATAGCAACTGATTTAAAAAGAGCCTAGTTTTAGGAGATGGTTATTACTGTTAGAATGGAAATTAGATCTCTGTCTCATGTCATATAATTGCCATATGATTATGAAATGATCGTGGATGGGCTCTGCAGGTGCTATAGAACAGTGATTTGGAATTCATGCTGCAAAACATAATTCTAAGACTGGACAGTTTTTAGTGTAGGATTTTATAGCACATTGCCAGAGAGGGCCAGAGGGCTCAAGAGTACTTGTTTGGTCATTTTCTGCAGTCTTGTTCAGAGGTGAATTTTCTTTAAGACTCAGATGACAAAGATTTGTGTAAGTATTTTGACTGAATGGCTTTCTAGTCTTTGCAGACTGTGTTTTATTACTTGTCTAAGGGCTTCAGGATGGTGGCATTGTGAGTTAAATCTCCCTGTATCCATTTAAGAGCGACCTTTTTATCACTTCCGACTATATCCATCAGCTGTTTCTTGGGCTCAGGGAAGAAGTTTCATTTTGTGGAGGCAGCACCTAATCAGTGTCTGCTACCCATCTTCAGACCTCTGCAGGGCTTTCACTGATCTTGTCAAGGGTATTTTTTTTATATTTGATGATGAGGTTGCCATTTGCTGTCGAAGATTTTGAGTTACTTATAATCCACTTCTGAAACCTGTGAGGGGCTAATAACACACAAGAGTGCTTCCCACTTTCCCACCTTCCCTGTATGCTTAGTCACTGCCTAATTATTTACTTAGTAAAAAGTTTATAGCAAAATACCTTGTGCATAGTATATAGATTATAGATTAATAACATAATGTGTTTATGACATCAAGCAGCCTTGTCAGTGCCCCCACTTGTTCTCAGTAGCCGCTGATTTTTAGCTGTATTGAAGATCAATCATGTCTGAGTTTTTAGAAAGGAGTCATTACTAAAATTAGAAACTAAACCTACTGCATCTGTGTTAAAGATCAAATTGTCCCTGCACAAAAAGCTGGGTGCATTTGAACCTTTGATGTCCTTCCTACAGTACCTTTTCTACCCTGAGTTGGCAGCACTCAGGCAAAGCAAGCACCACACCTCCTCCTTCCAGCCTTCATCGATTCGTCAGGCACTCATGAGGTCATGTACTGTCCTGGTGTCTGAACACCTCACAGAAGTTAATATATTTGATATATATTTGTAGGATGGCTACAGCAGACTGAAGACAAGACCATCAGGCTCCAGTTTGTGACAACCCCACTTTTCTTGATACATCTCTGTCCTTCACAGTGCCATGTTTGTCATTCCCTCTTTGACATGCACCAAGCGGTACCACTCTTCTAAACAGCCCTGTGAAAATGTAATTTATTTTGGCTCAGTAATACCTCTAGCCATCCTGTCCTTCAGCAGAGTGTAGAACTATCAAAGTGTCTGTAGAGAATTTCCCAAAATACAAGGCACATAGAAACCTCAGTATAGGCATAGAAAGATGTTCCTAAATATTCTCTCCAGGTCTGTATCTACCCATACAGTGAGTCATGCCCAGATCCATGAGCATGGATATTTGTGTCTTTTCTGTGTCCTATCTACACAGAAAAAGGAGATAAACCCAAAAGTTAGTGACAGAACAGAACCTTTACAACTTAACCCAAACTCAGTCCATGTAAATGGGATTATTTACCTCCGCTTAAGTGAACTCTGACTCAAATTTTAGACTGTAAAAGTGGGATGTATCTGACAAAGTGTCTTTGCCTTGGCTGTTCACTCCAGACTCCTTTCATTGTGACTGATGATATGGTCAACATAGCCAGCTAAAAGTAGGTTGCATCTCACCTCATCCTACGAAAGTAGAAGTTTAAAACTGATATAATAGAGTAGATGTCTATAAAATCAGATGAATCACATGCTAAATGGCTTCTTTCTTCCTACTGACTAAAAGAGAGAGTAGGATGCTGATTCCAGAGGTGAAGACCTGCTCCAAAGATGCTGCATGCCTAAGGGCACTGCAGCAGGGCCTTTTTATTTCTGCCTGAACCATACCATAGGCAGGTACAAGACTGTACCTCTAATTCTACAGTCAGGAAGAGACATTAGGAGGAAGAAAA